CTTTTTTTTCTAGCGGTTGACTAGCGGTTGACTTGTCAGCCATAAAAATTTGAATTATCTTTATACAGTTGGTTTCTCTTTACATGGAGGAATAATATTTTTCAGATACTACAAGGAAAGAATGGGAAAAAGACTGTTTGAAGTCAGTCTGTAACAAAAATTCAATTGTATCCGTCTTTATTTTTTTCGTCTTCCGAATAACATATTTTCCTATACTGATATTTCGTTGTTGGTATTAATTCCCCATATTTTGCTTTCTTCTGTTTTATCTTTTTGTAAAAAATACTCTATAACTTACCTATAAATTGTGGAAAAAATGTGTCAGGAAGCAAAAATAAATTAATGCATCTTCCAACCTGACAAGCAAACCATAGCATATCCGTTTACTCTAGCATGTTGCCAAGACGTGTTTCCCTTAGTGTTATTCCCATTTATTCTGTAGAACTGATATGTATTTGATCTGGACAGAGCAATATTATTTGCACGTTCAACTGGATTACAGATTCTATGTGCTGTCAGTGCTTAGTGCATTGCAGGCATTGATCCATAGACGAGTTAATGTTGGCGATAATTTGAATGGGAGGACAGCGCTGTTTGTATTTGCAACTTGCATTTAATTATAACGCAGCTGTCAGTTGGTCATACTATTATTTTTACGTGTTTTTGAGCGGCTAGACATTCAGAAGACAAAAAAACTGAATTAATTATGGATGAGGGTTACGAAGCATTAGGTCCATCTGCAAGTGGTCCGTTGCAGTTATTTAGCTTTTATCTTGCATTTAACTGACTGCAGTACCAAGGTTTACTCCGAATACAATACAAAAGTGTGAAAAAACACCATCGCACAGGTGATGGGTTGAGAAGGGAGTTTCAGATAAAAAAGTCGAGCATCTTTTCTAGCAAGAAGTGCAATGGAGTCCTAAAGCCTGTTTTCGCATCTTACTTTAGATTTTTATAAGATCAGCAAAGTCATTTTTGCATAAATAAAGGTTCCAGAACTATTTTGTCCCAAAAGAATTATAGTTCCAGAACTATGATTTCTTTGCAGCGCCACCACCATCTTATGGACCTATGCCTCCAATGCAATTTGTTCCGGTTCCAACTCCTAGTCAACCGGTTATAGTCCAATTCCCACCAGCAGTTGGGTCACCACCAATTCCGGCTGCACCTGCACCTCCATCAGCACCAATTCATGAAAGTGAAAGTAGTGACAAACAAGTAAGCATAATTTTTCTGCCGAATATCAAAGAAAATTACGATAAATTTTCGCCGCTTTTTCTTGTAATGGCACATACTCAATGCAAGAGTACTCTGAAAACTGGTAAAATGCATTGTCCTGCACAATATAAAGTACTTTTTAATTTTCAGAATATAAATTCTTATTTTATTTTCTATTTTGCTTCTTGAGAGTCAGAAACTGCTGATTTCAAATTTTCAGAGCGAACCTGATGTGAGGAGAAAAAGTAATATATTCAGATATATATTTCTTGCTTAAAAACGGAATAGAGCGTATATCAAATGGCATGATGGTCATCATTAACTTGTTATTTGTTGAGATGGATATGAATTTTGGAGATTAAATATTTTTGTGGCACATTAGCCTAATTTAGAACCATGCATATAGCTGTAATTGAGTTTGGACACCATACATAATTAGATCATCTAGGAGTGGTAAACCATGTTTTCACGTGAAGTCTTTATGGCTCATTAGTATAATAGATCCAATCAGTATATATATATGAAGGACATATAAATCGACTGTATTCATTATTATACTTTGTCACATCAAATTACTTCGTGAATTGGCATGATAAAAGAAGAAGTCTTGTAACACTAGAAATTTTAAATACTAATCATGCAGTTTTCAGCTACATATAATTAAAAAGCTTAGGTCGCTACTTCCTGTAATAGATGATAGATATAATATTTTTGTTTGCATTTTATCTTTGAAAAAACTTTTTCAGTAAGTATAAAGTAATTGAATCAAATTTTTAGAGAGAATAACTTTTCACATTTCAGAAAGATCTTCGAGATTTGGACCGATGATGTCTCGCATTGGTTGCATGTTAGGATGTTGTACATTCTTGATACTGTTATTCATTGGAATCGTAATAATCGTATTATTAGTTGCAATAGTATGGACAGACTGCTTCGGACATCCAGAATGTCCATGGATTCGGATTATCAAATTATAAGCTCGTTTGAGAAACAACTTTCATTTCAGCATGGAGTCAAAAACACCCCTATGAAATGTACTCCGTGCTTCTTTAATACGTTTTCAACAGTCACATTAAAACTGTTCTGCGATAAAAAATGTCGGAAGAAATAAATCAATTTGTTGCAAATCGATTTCCTCTTTACTTAAAGTCAAAAATCTGTACTCTTATAACAACTGACAAAGTTCTGACACTCACGTACCTCGTGTATTTGATTCCGTTTGTCACTGAAATCTGCGTAGATAAACAAAAAGAAACCATGCCTGAGAAACGTTCCCTAGTAAGATCATAATAAAAATTCTAATATCAATTAGACGTCCCTAGTTTACCGGAGTTTATTAAACGAATATACTACACAAGCAAGAAAGCCTTTCATCTTGAGATCGCATTCTGTGCAAATAAAGGGTCTAAATTTCGGAAACTTCATCCAAAATCACGACAAACTTAGCATGAAACACAGACAATACGCGAGACCAGAGACATACAGAATCAAATGCAGTGCATTATATCTGATAGCGCATATGTCCTAGAAACCATATTACATTTAAATGAATGCCAGCCAATAGGTAGCACGGCTGAGACATTTTTTTTTGACCACTGACTACCATGAAATCAATCCTATACTCAACAGGATACACAGTTAGAGCATTTGATGAAAAATAAGGATTACTAGCCAGCAAAATCAGGATGCTTCTTTGAGCTCGTTGTGACTAACTAAACATAAATATAGATGTGACAAATAAACAATTTACAAATAATATTTAAACCCAATTCCTCTTTAAAATGAACACTGAAAACTATTGTGATTTACACGTCATACTGATTTTACCAATGGCCCAACAAATTTTGGAACAGAAGTTACTGAGTCATAAACTTTGGAAACAAATCTGATCCTCAGAAAATCCAGTTCACAGCTGGTGTACACTCAAACTTGGCTTACTAATCAGTTATGTATTTCACTGAAGGAAGTTCAAACAATGCTTAACAATTACAGAAACTACGAAACAACAGAAAAATCAGCAATATCAATAAAATGGAGCAATTTTCAACATAAATGAGATTTTTAAATTTCATATAATCCTGTCATTCGACGCATTAATTAATCACACGGTAAACACATACTTTCCAAATAAGAATAAGACCTAAGTAAACTGAAAGAGTGGTGCACTTGTTCAAGAACAGATAGCAACATGAAATGTAATGATGACCTTAATTACAATGCTTTGATTTTATTATAGGGCAAAACTTGACAATAATAATCCTCAGGTTCAGCAATTTTTTGTAACATACATGTCTGCTTCAATCTTGGATTCGGTGTCATATTTTTAAAATAGGTACACCGATTGTTACCATATCCAGGAATAAGTAGATCGAAAAATGCGGCACCATCTTCAAGAGGTGTCAGAGAGTGTATGTTGCCAAACTCTGGTCCCAAATATACACATTCATCACTACACCAACAATTGGTAACACCATCAAATCTGTAAACAATCCTCTAGAAAATGAAACGATTAGTCAATTGTACTGATTTTTTTAATCTGAAATGAAATACCTGAAAAAATAGATTAAATAAACCGAGATGCATTACAGAGAAAATAAAGTTCCAAATTAAAAAAAACAAACAAAAATGAACATGACTTTATCTGACCTAGCAGCAAACATTGGACGACCGAGCATTCAACTTGACAGTACTTCTCATTTTGCTATGTTCATCATGACTGAGTTCTGTATATGAATTCAGAGCAATTGCACCACGTAAGACTTTCAAAAATCCATACATTTCAGGATGATCATGTAATGGGAATACAAAGTTACAATTTTTGAAACCAAACAAGCAAACGTGAATATGCTCAGATTCATAAACATCGGCGTAATACATTGGGGCTGTCATCGCTTCAAGACCTGTAATGTTACCAAACCGCATCATCTGAAAAGAATTTCCATTCCCCTTTAACATTTTAAACGTGAGTAAAAATTTCCGACGACAGCCTAACCCATCGATAAGTGGCTGACTTTTCAAATATAAGGTCATTTTAAACACACCTTGATCTGTTATTCATCTGTAAGAAAAAGAAAAAGGACTTTTAAAAGTACATAATATCACACATCAAGTTTTAGGTCCAATCCATTTGTTGGCAGCTAAAGCGAATGTCAGTATAAATTTCGCCACATACCTCACCATTAGTCCAGTGAATTCATTCACTGCTAATCCACACGTTGACTTGAATTGAATACACAAAATAAACCACAGAAGAGAAGCATTTCAGTAAATATTATTAATGCTGATTGAAATGCGCAAAACTCAAATAAATTTAGTGTAGTAGTCTAAAACAAACAGAAGCAGAAAAATGTACCTAAACGATCCGGCAGTACTGCGCCAACTATATCAGGGGTAAGCGCTGATACCAGTTGACGGGCACGCTCAATTAACATTTTCTTTTCGATCGTATAGTCACCATCGCTATCTATTATAGTATTAGATAATTTCTTTATTTGTGCCAACCTTTCCGATATTGCTGATGTCTCACGCAGGAATGAACGTAATCCTTGCCGTGGCATTATTTTTGATACTATCAGATGAAGCAAAAGTTCGATCTTAACTTGAAAAATACAATAACTGATTTTAGAAATCCATCATAAGCAACACATCAGAATCACATAAAACTTAAGCAGCAATATCGAGCATTAGAACAAATAATATTATATTAATGTCACTTGCGAAAAAATTAAATTTGACTGAAAGTATATTTGCAAATAAAATTTAACTGGGACATGATATTTGATGTCACGTATGAATACAATAAGTGTCAAATAAATTACAAACTATGACAAGTAAAATCACTACAAGAAATATATTATACACGAAACACTGGGAAAATTTAAATTAGAAAAAGAACCAATATAGTCTCATCTAGTCCCTAGCTGCTAATTAGTTTAATTTCAAGCAACTTTGCAAAATAAGTTTAAAGAGTTGGCAAATCATATATGAACCAGTCAGTTTTAACAATCTTTCGTTTCTTTCGCATCTTTGTTTACACTCATACTCTGCAAATATCTTTCGATCTTTTCTGCATTTGTTTCCTTACAACAGTAATTGTCGAGTGTCTCTCAACTTTTGTGAACTTTATTTCGTCCAAATCAAAACAATTCTGTAGCATCCACCTTAATAGACAGAATAGTATATCAACTGTATGCATAGGATCTTCCTTGTGTTTCTTTCTACGGTTAAACAATATCGATTGACAGTTTTTCAGTAGAACTTGGATTTTATCTGCATTCTGCGCAGCAGCTTGGAAATATTGAATTTTAAATTAATTTAAAAGATCAAGCATTATTTGAGAGACCTCTCATTGTGGGTTGTTGATGTGAAAATATATGAGATTACATTTAAATATATGGCTCTGCTAAAATATTTCGCTTCTATGTTGTTTAAATTAATCGTTCAGAATTCAGTGCGATATCAAGAACACGGTGAAGTAATGTGGAATATTGGAAATGATCAGTTAATAATAATACGAGCAATAAATACTCTTCCAGAAATTAAAATTGAAAGTTTTCACGTGGGATATAATAAAGCTATTTGCAAATAAGCTTAATCAGATTATCTGTTCGAAAAGTCATTTAAGTCAAAATTTTCAGGTATAGATGAAGGACTTAACTATTAATACATCTAGTGCCTATAATTGGAGAAGAAATATCCATGGATACGGTTAATGCAGTGTGAATGCAATGTGTTGGAAACGGTGTGTCCTGTCATGTCGGAAAATTAGTTTCCTTATATTACTTTCATTTTTTTTAAATTTGTTGTTGATCGCACGCTTGGTTAGTTGGCAGTCAGTGCAAGAAGCTACAATTATACGGGTATGATTTTCCTACTTCAGGCTTTTTTTTCTTAGTGTGAAATGAAAAAGTATTTATCATATTAATTTAAAGTAATTTTAGTCTATTACTTTAAATTTATTGCTAAAAGTAGTTGTCTTGATTGATTTCTGATAATCCTACTTACTGAAATTATAAGCATAAAATTAAGGTCTTATTGTATGTGCTTGATTGAGCTCTTAAGTTTTTCTCTAAGCAAACTTAACATATTCTCAAAAATGCTCTTTTATTATTACAAGCGAGATATTTGCAAATATCAAATTTAAAATCTAACACAAATCTGATTTTGTTTGATTTTAATTTCTCTATTTATATTCAGTCATCACTGCGTAGCTATCAAAAAATTTATTAATTAATTATAATAACTGTCAGCAGCCTTACTTATTCAGGACTCTTTTCCTTCTGATTTTACAAATTTCGTATCTTACGTCTTTATCATTAATCAAAAAAGCCAACATTTACCACCAGATAGTAGTTTATATTGATCACACCAAGAATGCTTCCGGGAAGCAGTTTTTAATAGATTCATATTTTAGCAGGAAATAAAAACAAATTGATCAGCTGAGTAAAAATCGTGTATAGTTTTATTCTCATTTATGCATTAATTTAAAGTATTCAGGTGACCAGTTCAATAACTTTACAAGTTAAATTCATGAGAAGTTGTGTATTTTATCATCGAATCGTTATCGTATGCTTTCTTGCAATATGATCTGCTGAACTGTTATTTCAGAACAAAATGTGGATTGGAATTGGAAGAACTAAACACTCACGTTTGGTCACCAATTCATCATGCAAGCATTACTCAGGATCGCTGCTTTCCCATGCGTTGTCTAGAATGAAAACGGAGGAGTGCCGTCTGATGGCTCAAGATCTTGTTTGCAATATTGATCAGTTGACACCTGATTCACTTCCGAATAGATGTCCGAGATTTGGTCGGATTTTAGTTCAGATGTGCATCTAGAAGTATTTAATTTAATTGTTTTTACAGCAAAATAAATTTCGAAACATTGATTATGTTTGAATCTTCAAGCTTTAAAATTGAAAGGTTTTTTTCTTAGTTTATCAAATTTAACATTATCTAAAATTGTCAGACATATTTTTGAAGGACTAACAAAATATGTGGAATGAGTGATTCATTTAATTTTTGAAGGTAATTAACAAGTTTGGATGGTTTTATCAAAAATCACCACTTCCATAATATGGCAATGATATATTGAATACATTATTACATATTAGTATACTGTATTGGATAAAAAAGAAATTCACGAGTTCTAATCTCATTTATATTCATTGTAGTGCATGGTTCTTGTTTCAGATGAGAATTTACAAGGCCTTTATATAGGCTGTTTTAGAGATTCATCGAGTTCTCGACTGCTCAATGGGTATTTATATAAATTTAACAACAACAATTCACCTTCACATTGTGTGAATATGTGTCTTCTAGCAGGCTACAGTTTTGCTGGTTAGTATGCTCTTTCGAAGCCTAAATCACCAAGTCTCATTTACATAGCAAATTTCAGATCTGTATTTTGAATCTGTTCTTCCTTCTATGAAAACCGATCGTAGTCTGTCAGTAAAAACATACAATTTTCTACTCAAAGTACAAAGAATCTTATAGTTCTTTCATTTAAGGTGTTGAATATCGCGAAGAATGCTTCTGTGACACTGAGTTGACAAGTGCATTTGCACTCTCAACAAATTCATGCGAGCAGTACCGCTGTCCCAATAGTGAAAATTTTTGTGGTGGTTACAATGCAATTGCTGTTTATCGCACCGGTATAATTGGTAAATGAGAATTTTTGTTGCTCAAATTTGAATAGTATGCGAATGGAAAGAAAAAATGACAATTATTTTCATCTTTCTGTTTAGAGAGTTAGTGAAAATAGTTCATTTTGAAGATGAAAAAATGAATTATGTTACTAAAAGCCAGAATTAAAAGATAGAGGGCAATTTTATCTGAAATTGGCAGATAAATTAGTACCAAGTACAAAATAATGAATAGGTTAATTGTATGTTAAAAACTACACATCATCAAATTCATCTATGTGTTAAATGGAAACTGTGAAGCAAATTACTCATTTACCTTTATGGTGTTCCAAAAAATTTGTCTATAATTGGTATGTATGTTCATATTTTATTTATTATTTTAAATTAGATAATTGCATGGTTATTATAATGCCAGTAAAAGGGCAAAAATTCTTCCTCGTAATTTTTCTCACATGAATAATTTTTTCAAGACAAGCCTTTGTTGATCGTAAATTTTACTGAACCACTGGAAAGTGTGGCAGATGTACGAATCTTATTTCTTTTACAATTAAATGGGAGAAATGTTCGACAGGTTATTATTTTTTCGAAATTTTAAAAGCGTAAACCGGTATAATCTCATGATTCACAACTGTGAGTCATTTTTTTTACGAAAGCAACGATGAATGATGATGGAATATACAGTATTATGAACCAAACGTTTCATAAGTTATAGATACATTTTAAATACCTGATTCTTTTTGAAGTTTCAAAACTTAACTCATTATAGATATATCGTCTTCTTCGTATTATTTATTCACCAAAGCATTATTATGTGATACATGTTGACAAACGTCAAGCATATATGTTTGAAGGTATGATTTGATATTATGTATTTATGTTTTAGCTTTTAAAAATTTTGGGATGAATGAATTAAAGTGTCATCTGGCACAATATATGTACAAAATTTTATGTGTTGAAAACTCTAGTCATGTCTTTTTGCATGTGATTATTAATTTATTATTTTCTTATCTAAAATTGAAGGATTTTTAGTTGCATTATTATATTGTTTTTACGTAAGCTTCTTGAATGAGGAAGGTTAGCTATAAGAAAACGATTTTAAATTTTAGAGTCAATTTGCTGTTAAGAGACTTTTCAATAATGTATTTGACAGAAATGAAACGAGTCATGTCTAGAATTCACAATTCTGGTTTCGACAATTTTTTTGTAATGGAAAGGCGTTATGCAACTATTTGGGCAGGGACAGCTTTATTATCTATGGTCTTAGATGTTCTTACAACGGTTTTGCATTCACTGAAATGGACGAACTGGGATTTCATGATGAATTTAAGCGAAAGCGATTTTCCATTGCTTTCAATGAGGGAATTAGAATATCATCTAGCAAGGTTGTTTGCACCATACTTTGTGTTGAAAACTCTAGTCATGCTTTTTTGCATGTGTTTGTTATTTATTATTTTCTTCTCGAGAAAAGTTATAAATTCTATCTACTTTCTCTTTCATGGAAATATTAAAAGTGCGAGTTTACACTCTTTCAGAAATAAGGAACGGATTTTCCTAAGTCATCATGGATATAATACGGCACGGTTTATCCAAAAACAAGGACTGGAATATATGTTTATGCAATGTGAGGATCGCATGTGGCGTTTAATGAAGCGGTAATGTTTTATTTATACTAGCTATATGAAAATAAATTTATAAATCTCCAGCAGGTTTTCATTTTAATGAACTAAGTTTAAGCAGTTCTGTTATCTCAAATTAAAGTCATGAGGAATATCCGCTACCTATTATTTATTAAGTATTAACTAAGGCCATTTTTCACAGACTCATAAAGTGAAGATCAGAACTATCTTTGTGAAAAAAGATAAGTGTTACAGTATTACAGATCTAGATTCCCCAAATTTATTCGTCTGGATGGTGGATCTGATTGGGTCGTTATTAGCCAAGATTTTGCCAGATATGCTTTGTCCGATGATGAATTGCCTCGGACTTTCCGGCAACTTTTTAAGAATGTTTTATTACCTGTGGAAAGTTTCTTTCATACTGTAGGTGATTGCTTAGTTTTAATTTTTCGAATTTCACGTTTTAAATATTCAAATTCGACAATTTTGTTGATAGCATTCACATTATGCATGAAACTCTATTTTATTTTTTTGCTGATATCTATATATGATTTGATACAAATCTTTATACTTTATGTGAAAGATTTCATTCTTGTGATAATATTTTGTTTAGTTACCAATCATCTTCAATTTTAGTTAGCAGCTAATTCAGAATATTGCATGCAAACTGTGAAAGGAAATTTGCATCTGACAAATTGGAAACGCCAACAAGGTTGTCGTTGTGCAGCATTGAAAAAAATTGTGGATTGGTGTGGATGCTCTCCTCTCGTTTTACGATCTTCTGATATACCAAAGTTTTCGGTGGAGGTAATTTTTTTAATCACCAAATTCATATTTTTTTACTTGAAGTTGCCAAAATTTCGAAAATAATCATGAAATTAATGATTCAGAAGGTTTAGGGAGACTAGCTACTTTTCAGAGTGCTCAGCGTAAAGCCGTTTTCTTTGGTCGCAAATTTGACCCAATGTTAAGTCAACGAACTATTGCTATTGCTGAAGCACAAGCATTACGGTTTGATAAAAATCTCAGTGCTAGTAGCCACCCATCTTTTAACAAATTCTGGACAAACATTTACTCATCTCCGTTAGATTATTCGGGCAAGAAATTTTATCTGTCAAAATCAAAATTTCCTAAATTTTTTTCAAAGAAATTCTTTAACATTGCTCTGAAGAGCCTCATATGTTCTTATGTACAAGATTAAAGTATTTATTTGTTTTATTACATACGTTGATGGTTTTATTATATTTGTATCATAAATACTCTTTGTAAGGTTATAGTTAATTATTACTGTTTTTGATAAGTTAATTTGTTTTAAAAAATTATGTTGTTTCATTTTTTAAAACCTGACATTTTTAGCATTACTAGAAGGCTTTGCTCGTTCACTGTTACCTTATGGATTGAACCAGAGTTGTACATTTAAAAATCTTTCATCAGTTACTGCTTACAAAGAAAGCGATGAAGCGCCCGTCCAGAGTATATACAATATATCATGCAATGGCAACGGAAATAAAACACAATTTATTCAGATTTTATTAGAATCAATCAATCCAATAAAACTTGGAGAAAACATTGTAAATGGTTACGAGTTGGTAAATCTCGAAATTGGTTCTGATTTGGATTTGAAGGAAGAAATCTTTCGAAATTATCATAATGTTTTATCAGAGGTTCTTCATTTATTTAAGATGAGATTTTGTATATCGTTTTGTGGCAAAGTCAGAAATGTACCATATTTGACTTGTTTCTTTTATGTATAATATTTATAAGATTGTTTTCTTACGGTTGTTTTTTCTTTCGTTCTCTGTGCTTAAAATTCAGTTCAAGCATATTACCATAAATTTATTATCAAAGTGTATAATTTTAAAATTTAGGATGATACGATTTACGCAAAGTTACAGTGGAGAAGAAAAGCTTCTTTGTCGACATCTGTTCATCGGAATTTCACTAGTCCTCAAATTATCGTAAAATGGATGAAACCATCGAATGTAATTGTGAAGCAAACAACTGTGCTTTCATATAATTCAATATTTGGTAATCAGTACGCCGAATTATTTTCAAACGAAACATCTCCAGGAGAGTGGATTGCTGAGTTTGTTACTGTAGAGGACAGTGTTGTTACGACCATTGCTTCTATAAAGTTCGTAATATTTTCTACTGCTAATGTGTATATTAATGATGAGACTGTGCACAAATACTTTCGTCGCATCGATTTCTGTTGGGAAACTAAAAATGATCGTTTATTAAGCTGTCGAGAAACATCTTGGAGTGCAACTTCTTCTGACCCCAAATCTCATTTTTTCTGATAGAAAATATTAAATTATTTGTTGGCTTATGTTATTGTTTTCAAATACATTTTCAGTTAGGATTTTATCCCATTCATTGCTCACTCTTTCATAACAATGTGCTCAATGAAGACATTGAGAGAGAAGTTATTGCATTTATCTACCTTTCTTGAGTGCAACTTTAAGTTTTTCACTTGTCGAGTCATTTAAACTTAATAATATAAGTTCTTCTTGGCGTTATTTGTATGCTTAGATCATTAGCAGGAATGGTGTCAGGTGTGTATTATTAGACATATTGAACACTTCCAGCTTTCACAACTCCATCTTATTTGTGCCTTGAATAAGATATGTGAATAAACATTTCAAAAGTTGCAGTTTATAAGAAATACGAACTTGTTGAAGTGTTCCACATATTTGGAATTCTTGAGAGAGGCGTTCGCAGATTGATGAAAACTTGACCAGTCAGTTCATCTAGTCATTCAAATTATAGTTCATGAATTGGAATTGCTAATGTGTACAGTTATAGTGCTTCCGTTATTTTTCTGCTACTTCATAATAGCCAATTTATCCGTCCGGTAAGAAATCAGTTATCAAAAAATCGTTTTACCAGTAATCGTAGTCACTCTTTTTAGAAAGTTTCGTAAGATAATAAGGTGTGCTGCAAGCGTAAGAATAATATTCATTTTGTGTCTAAACGTGTCACGAATGTTTAATTTATGTTTCAAAGCTTTGAGAAAGTACGACGAATCTTTCGCGCATATTCTTTTGGAGAACGAGGAAGATTCACTCCCTGTGTGGCTTTCAGTGGTTGTAAAAAGTTGATGAAGTTCTTGTGTACCTTCCAATTTCTGGCCGTAAATTAGACTTTACTTGAATTTGATTAGTGTGGGTCTAAAGCACGTCATAAATTGATGATTACAGTCCTTTTTTCTATCATGGTTTCAACAATAATCAGAAAGTACATGCTGATGAAGTCTTTAATCTCTAGTAAATTGGTTATTTTTCTACCAAATACCCATGAAGTTAATGAAACTTGGTAGAAATATAACTGGTGCATGAGCTTACTAGTCCAAAATAGTTTTTCAGAAAAGTAGGCCAGGTGAGTTGGAATCTCAAATTTAATCACTAATTTCCTAAAGGAATTTTAAAGGTTGCAAGCAGATGGTATGAATGGCCATACCTCGTGACACTTGGCGTTCTAGCACTAATTGAGTTTCAATGTAATAAATTTCTAGTAACAGGAATTCGGTCTATTTCGACTCCTAATTTCTCATGGGAAACAACTTTTTTCAGAGAATACTTTTTTCTGAAAACGTCATAGTAACTCGAGAATGAATTACTAAATTTTCAAACTTTTTTCATTGGTAATAATCAAATCGACTTTGCATTCTTGACCTCATGACCTAGTCCTGTTGTTCTACTCTAACTTCATTTGATCAAAACTTGCTTTAAGAACGATCTCATTAGATAATTTTTATTTTATCCAGTAATCTATGGAATTTTACAACGAAGTATATTAGTTCCCATTAATCAGTCATTCAATTATAAGGAACTCTTAGTGAATGTTCTTAAAGTGAGTTATATTTCTACCTCTGAATTTGGGAAAGTGAAATTTGTTTGGTATAGACTAGATGAGTACTGAGCTGTTGTCCTTGTCCTCAAAATCATGAAATTTGCATAAATTGGGTCAATGGTAGTTCATCACTTTGGAATTGCATGAATGTCAATTTGTAAGCCTTCTTTCTTCTTTAAATGCAGTTCAAAAAAGTTTTTGTCACAGTTTTTTATGTGTCATAAAGCTAACAGCAATCATTTTATGGCATTCCTTAGCAAGCGAAAAAAGTAGGAATGTTTTAAATATTAATCGTAAAAATTACACGGAGACAGCGAATAAAACGCTTGCAAACTTCCTATCTTTCTAGGGAAAATATTCTTGCAGAATCATTCAAGGAACCTTTCACATTGCTAAATATGGTTTTTATCATATCTTGTGGGAATATTATTTCCAGCACTTTTCTCTGGAACATTATTTAAAAATTTTGGGGTTTTTTTTTCATGTTGTGCAGATGGCCCTATAACTTGTTTCTCTATTTTTCATTCATTTATAAACTTTTAATAAAAACAGTGACTGCTATTTTGTCGGGATATTACTATTTATAATTTTATATTGAATGCTAACATGAATTTTTAAATACAAACGTAGCTACAGTAATGGCACTAAAACCTACTGATAATTAATCAGATTTGGACTGCTCTTCGATAAGAATAAAGTGGTTTTGAAAAGAGAGAAATTATCTTTACATATTTTCTGCAAGCGAATAGTTCGCAAAATTTTGCATATTCTGGAAATTTTGATATTTGTAATCGGTAATGCCATATCTAATTTAACGATAGACTAAATTCTTCTTAATATTCGATACTGTTTTTTGATATAATGACTAACAGAAACTCTGATAACTCTATAGATATATAATGTACGAAGCTATATTCTGAATATTTCATGTAGTAAAAATTCTTTCTGATTGAGTGAGTCAGAAAACTGCCTGTGGACTTTTACAGTCTTTATCATTTTCTTGAGTCTACAAATTTAATAATTGCTAGGAGAACTCAGACTTGTTCAGTTTTAACAAATTTAACTTCCAGTATAACATTTTGATTTCAAGTTTATTTTAGTTTTTGAGATTGCTCGCTTGATTTTCTTTTGACATCAAAAAGTACGGAGCCCAATTTCTGAAGCTAGATTTAGGCTTGTTTTCTCACGAATTCAACTTTTAGTTTTAGTTTTATTTAGTTTCTGAATCAGGTAGCACTACTTTGAAAAGATCAGAATCTAAGTAATTACTAAATAACTAAAAAGCAATATATAAGTTTCACATTTGTCTTAAATGTAAAATTAATCATAACTTCTTGTTATTATATTTGCGTAACTTTCTGAAATGTAAATCATTTTCGTTGGATGCCTACTTCATTTCTGTACAACCTAACCCTCACTTGAGTTATTTTATTCTGAAATCGCAAACTGCATGAAAACGTGATTTTAGAACAGGTATTGATTGTAGATGATGTGCATTTATCGTACACTTTGTTGTAAAGATTTAAAACAATCACTCCTTGGATATCATGGCTGATTATGATTATCATTATGATTATACCTTTGGGAAAAAAGTAAAACTTAAATATATTACCTATGTTTTTGGCTGTCTATTGATATTAGATCAAGAAAATTTCACTTTATCCACTGTATTTGAGTAATTATCACTGCTCTCGACCACGTGGATTATCACATAAGTTTTTTGCCATTTTAAAACGGTTACCGAATATCGCATCCATCAAAGAAGTGAACTTTTTGAGATGCAGTTGACCGCATATTTACGTATATGTGTAATGAAATGTACGCTGTGTATTAAATTTCTGAAACTTATTTGCAACGTTTGGAAAATTAGTGAACTGAAAAAATACGAACAGAAGCAAGAAGGAGAAAGAAATGACAATTTACAGTTCAATCATGCAAATTTTTGGGCACAAAATGTTATACTAAAATTGACAGTGTAATAAAAGAAAGAATTATGGAACGTTTGCGTAAGCCAGCAGAACTGTTACTTGCTTTTATAGCAGTTTGAGTTCATTCTGAAGTGAATACAACTTTCTAAACGCGCGGTTGTCGAGTGAACTGGAAGACTTCTTCACTTCACGCTAAGACTGCTATATTCCAGATCATCTTGCTATTTTGCACTCACTCATTGCATTAGTTATTTGGCGTCTGATTTCTCCGTGTCCTTGAATGAATAATAAAACACGCACACAGTGACACATACACATGTGCACACACAAAGCATCGCTGTTTTCAGCAGCACAACCAAATGGTATCAGCACTTTTCATTCCAAAAATGCAGTCGAAATTTATATTTTCATCCTCTGATAACCTTTTGTGACAAATTATTAGTTCTTTTTCTGGTAGTTGATCATCTGAACTGTGCTGTCCAACTTTGTCACCATTATTATCACTTGCTTGTATTAATTATCACCACGGAGAGTTAGTGGATTAGCTTAATGCATTAGCTGAAGAAAATTATTAATTCTTTTCAGTGGAAATTCTCAATCGATTGTTCGCATTTTTGCCTCAACTCTTAGCATTACTACAATTTTCAATTTTCTATAAACACAAAGGATTTCGTGTAAGTGAATTGGAAAGTAGTCAGTCGAAAAATGATATCTTTGAATGAGAATTAATTGCATATAATTGCCAATTTATTCAAATTTTGTTGTGTAATTATTGAAGGTAACAGAATGAATTGATATCCATTATCGTATGCGATTTTTTACTTGAAGTATTGTGGTGATTTTGGCTGAAAATATCCAACACGCAATAATTTTTTATTCATAAATTTCCTCTTTTAATATTCTGTAAAAATTTTTATTTCTGTAAGTTATTTTTTCATGATTTATTGATTAATTATTAGAAAACTCGTGACAAATTTTACTATTTTGTCTTAACAGTACCATTAACAACATGGTAATCAATAAGAGTTATAATTAAGAATCGTGAGATTTAATTTGATTGTTATTGTTATCAATACATTCTTCATAATCTTTGCAATCTAACATTTATCATCGAACTTATCATTGCCATCGTTTCTCATACTTATTCTGTCATAACTGCTTAAATTTTAAGTGCTTTGAGCATTTGCCACTATCTATGCATATTGCAATTGGCAAATGACAACAATTCTCATAACAAAGAGTTTCCATTGCAGCTCAATTCATTGTTAGTTACCAGATTTTACCACTATTGGAAATAGCAATCAGTGTTTGTTATCCACTCATCATTCAAATCACGGTGTCTGTTAATAATTTAACGATATATTCATGATTTTGATCATGTTCGATCATGCATCTGATAATGATTCCTTTCTTCATTTTCTGACATTAAACGATTTCGCATCAAAGCTTTTTCACATATGATTTCAGCCGCAAAATAATGCTGAAGATAAATTTTATACTCAACTTTAAATCAACGAGGG